GCCTCCTGCCGCCTCCCCGCCCCACTCTTGCCCGGCCCCATTCAGCAGAGCGAGGGGTGGGAACACATCCGTTGGAACCGTCGCCACCGACCAGCTGAAAACCTTTCCCACTGTGCTCAGCGCCGTCCAAACGCCTCTACTCGGACTGCTTTCTGGTTTTGAAGTCAAGTTCTTGCCTGTGCCCTGGCCTTGGCCCTCGCTGCTGGCTTTGCCTAAAATGTGCCTCCTCTCCCCCTGCCCAGGCCCGGCCCTGCAGCCACCCTCAGAGTCCCCCCAACCACCCTCCACCTCCCTCCACCCCTCATTCCTGGTTTATTGTCTCCCTCCCCCATAGACTAGAAATTCCCGAGGGCAGGGACCGGGTCCATTTGCCCACTACTCTACCCCGAGCCGTGTGCCCACCCACGGTCAGCGGGGGCAGTGCCTGAGGAGGGAGCGAGCCCATGCAGGGAGGAATGCGGTGCTGGAGAAGCGGAGAAGCGGCTGGTGTGACTGTGTGCACACGGTCCAGGAACTGGGGGCTGGCTCCCGCGGGGCCTCCCGCCACAGGCCAGGCCCGGCCCTGCTGTTAGGGTCCGCGCCGGCAGGTAGGTGAGAGAGGCACTGAGGCCAGGGAGCTCTGCCCAATGTTCTCTGGGCTCCGAGCGAACGTGGGGGGCATCATGTGCTTTGTCATCCACAGAACTTACTGGTCTCAACCCGGGAGGTGTTAGTGAGAAGTCACCAAAAATGAAAGATCAGACAGAGGCCAAAACCAGGACTACAGGCTTTATTAGAGGAGAAGCATCTGCCGGGCTGTCTCACAAAGGGAAGACAGCAGCACGTGCAGGGGTGGGCACGCCTTTTGACGGGCAGAATGGGAAGGGGTGGGGGCTTAGTGTACTCGGCGCACACTGAGTCCATATAGTAGGACAAGGGCTTAGGGGATTTGGCAGGCGTGGTCCAATGTATAGTCCATATAAGGTACCTGGTTAGTCACTCAGGAATTTCCGGGCTGCAGGTTACGTCATACTCCGCCCACCAGTTGGGGGAAGGGAGGATCTATCAGTTAGGGTCGCCGAAGGAGGGATGCACGAGGCCAGAGCGGTGAGGGGTCATGAATTTATTAGGTCATCTGGACACCAGCTGGGCTGAGCCCCCAAATGGCGCCCGCACCCAGGGCCGGGGAGTCAGAGGTTTTAAAGGAGTCCAGGCGGGCTTTTCCTGGGGGGAGAATTCTCTGTGCAGGTCCGGCTCCTGGGAAAGTCCGAGGGGAGAGATAATGGTCTAAGCAAGTGGAATGTCTGTTGTGAAGTGGCCTAGTTCCCAGGGGAGGGGGCACCGATTCAATGATGTGATCAGACCGAACATCCCAGCCTTTTTGTTGCACGGAATAGACGAAGGTCACATCTCCATAGTCACTTCCTGCTGAGCAGGGTGGACGAGATTATAGGGGGGATGGACTGTGATAGTCCTCGGCTGGAACACCGTGTAGATGCCTCATGGTTGGAGCGAGGGGTCGCAGCAGCACGATTTCCTGAGAGGCTGGGTGGTGAGGGCTGAGAGCGGTTCTGTTGAGGGACCTGGGAGGTAAGAGCTGGTCCTGAGGCGGCCACAGCATCACTTGTCTGGTTTTGCTGCTTTCCTGGGCCTGGGGCTGAAATGCAACTGAGGCCTAGATGCCATCTTTAGGGATGAAAGGGCAGGGCTCTAAGTTGCCTGATGAGGGATGGGAAAGGGAGGAGAGGTTACCCTGGGGGCGAGGTTCTTGTTTTCCTAGTTTTGCCCCTTGCTGGGCAACACAGCTTTCCCGTAGGTCCTGAGGCGGGATTACGACAGAGCAGTGGTTAGGCCCCTATGCCAGTCCCGGCACCTGCTGAGACACCAGGGTTGAGAGGAGAGGGATTATCTGTTCTGCCCTTTGGTGTCGGACGTGACGGGTTACAGGGACAGGTGAAGACTGCATATTGGGGGCTACCCTTACATTGGGTGAGAGATGAGAGTACAGGTTCCTGCCCAGCTGGTCGGAGGCAGATGCCTGTACTCTTCTTCCCACAGAGGAAGAAGAATCCCTGGTCATGGGGACAAGCTGGACGGTACAGAGCGAAGAGGTGGACTCAAGGGTATGAGGCTCCTCTTCCAGTTCCGGGCTCCAAGCCGAGAGGGTAGTTGCCATGGCTCTGCCAATAAGAGGTGACAGATGGAAGTGGGCAGGAATACTAGGATTTGCGTGAATTTTGGGACACCCTACAGAACGGGCTGTGACCCAGGGGAGGAGCGAAAGGGAAGGAAAAGAGCAGTTGAAGCCTTGGGCCTGGAAGGGTGGCTGCAAGCGGACGACGGGAGATGGCCTATTGTTCTATCGCCTTGTGACCTTGTAAAGCATGAAGGGGCTTGGGCGATAGGACCTGGGACCGGGAGGGAGGAAGGAGCTGCCTTAGCAAGAGATTAAATGTAAGAACAGGAAAGAAGGGAGGCGT